AGCTATACAAGAAAAGATCCTTTCTGTTGAAGAATGATAATGAGGTGACACCAACTGACATGGACATATTTATTATGAGATAAATTTGAGCCTCCTTTCCACCCCCTAAGGAAACTAACAATCAAGATCAATAATTGCACTGAAGTGACTTTCAGATTAAGCGACCTCTTAGAAATCAAAGGCCCATACTAAATAGAATTTCTTTTCTAGTTCTCCATCATTAATTCTTATATTTTGACTTGACCTTCAAGTCAAGTTTCAATACTTCAGTTTTCTAGGCCAGGGCATTATCTCCCATCAGACCAGTCATTATGATTATGCACTGAAAGTTTGGCTCTCTTTTCCAGGAATAGAAGACCTATTGCACTATCCCAGTGGGATGAAAGAGAAGCATAAATAACTCTGACCAGATCTGGTCTGCTTAAGAACATCCCAAACAATGGACCTTGCCTATGAGATGACACTATCCCCAACCAGGACAAGCTGAATCCTAATTCCAAAGCTTATTTCCCACTGGGTCCAACTACACTCCCACCATCAGTCTTGATTCAATTTCACTGGATCAGTTTCTCATGTTTGGGGACCAATGTCCCCTGAAAGGGCAGATTTATAGTCTATATGTTCTTAAAAGCCTTAGCCAGAGTTATCCATGCCTTTCTTCTACCCCATTGAGAACTTGGGGACTGGCCAACATAATTGCCTTTTTCTTTGCTATTTTGGGGTAAGGAACAATCAAACATGAGGCTATCAGCAGCACAATCCCTAGTATTTCAGAGCCTCTGTAATTTTTATGGAGTTTTTAAATGGTGATACCAGATTGCAGAGAGGACATAAAACAACATTGATCTTTATCCTAAGGTATAGCCCCTTAGTATGGCTGAATGATTTAAAACAGTATTCCATATGAATACTGAAGGACAATAGTACCCAAATCATTTAAGAAATCTACAAGGGTTTTCCTCCCCATGTTCAATTCTCAGTCAAGGTCATCTACTTAGTCATCAGGCTTAGCCCAATTGTCCTAAAGCTGTGAAAGAGAGAGAGAAAAAATATGATTATTTCACCAACCTTCCTGAGCAATTTTAGCTGTGAAAGAGCATCTTGGTTGTTAATAAGTATCTGTCTATCAAAATTCTCCACTTTTTCAAGTACAGAATTATCCTTTGCAGAAGCCCTGCAGATCCTGATCATCAGATCTCCTTCTACATCTCCATTTGGTTTCAAGTACAGTTTGTCTCGAGAAAAATTCCAAAACTCATTCTTAGCCAGAAAGGGATGGAACTAGAATAGAAACATCCAAGAACCTTAAAAGCAGAAAACTTGGTTTCTCTTCTCCCATGGTCTATGCACAATTGAATCCTTCTTCTACAATTATCAAACTTGGTCATATACTAAATTGTTAGAAAAAAGGTTAAGATCTTTTTTTCCATACTGTGGGATATAGCAAAATGAATTTGGTCACAGAATAGGATAATCTGGCAGAATTCAAAGAAATATATCCTAATGGGATAAGGAGTTTTAGAGGTGAGCCAATAAAGCAGAGAAGTTCAGTCTCCCTTTCACTGATTATCTCAATGCAAAGACTGAGCAGCCATCAGTTAAAGAAGCTTTAACTGAGATTCCTACAGAGAGGAGGGGTTGAGCTAGATGCTATCAGGTTTTCCTTCAAATTTATAAGGCAATTTTTTTAAAATGCATATATTATTTTTAAAGTTAATGGGATTTAATATTAAAATGCATCTGTCATGATGCTGTCTCTTTGGAAGATTATGTGTTGAGAAATTAGATTGGCCAAATCTGTTGACCTTTTCTAGCACAAGGAGGTTGAGATGGTTCTCCTACTTCCCCTTTGGATTCCTTCTCCAAAAGAATTTGATTTGATGCACCCTTGTTGGTACCCCATACCTGCCATGGTTGTAGCCTTGGTGCCCCAAATATATTTTTACTCTCCTTTCTTCTCCTCTGTGATACAGATAAATATGCTGCATTCAAGGCATGGGCCAGAGTCAAAATGAAACTGTAAATATAGGAGTCATTCTGCATCCAGATACTGTTCCTTTTCTTTTGGGTCTCCAGTGGTGATTTCTGGGTACATCTTCTTCGTCCTTTGACAGAAAAGATGTGCTTGGAAAAAGAACAGCGAAAGGACTTATCTTCATATCTGCGTTCCAGAAAGAGACCTGATTCAAAGCCATAATCTTTTCGCCTTTTTCTAACCTGTAAAGCAAAGTTCCAAATACTATGGACAAATCTGAGAATTTTACTACTTTTAATTGGGCAATCCACATAAGTTGCCATGATCCAGATTTTCCCTTCAACAGGTCCTGGCAAATGCCCAAGTGTTAAATGGAAAGGAAGAATTCTGTCCAAAAGGGAAACAAATTCTATGAAGTGAACATAGACATTGACTTGTCTCCACTTAGAGATGGCCTCCCTGATGGGTGCTGTATTTCCAGTTGTTGAGAATTGTTGAGATATAACAATACAAATTCCATTCCTGACAAGCGTAGGAGTCAATGTCCTCATGAAATGCTCTCCCTCCTCTGTGTCTGAAGCAAAGAGACCAATCAAGGTCCATCTGAAATGCAGGAGCACTTGGATAGTTCTTTGGTAGAAGAACCCTTTTTTGGGTAAAAGCTGATGGTGAAAGGGGAATTGACTTTTTTCCTTCAGAGCTTCTGAACCAAATGCACAATTGATCTGAAAAAGCAATGAAAAATGCTATGTTACATGTGGGGTCACATCGTTCAAAATATTGGGTTTCAATACATTCAATTACTGTTGATTAGTTATCAGTCCATATCAAGATACAAAATATAACTCATGGGACCTTAATAAGACTGTACATAAATATAGAAGAAAAGAAATAAGTAGAAGAAAATAAGATAAAGAATGCAAATCGTATTTCTGGATCACCTTTAAAATTTATTTTACAATACCCACATATGCAGATCTCAACTGAACTGATTTGTTCCAATAAAGGCTCATGTTAAACTTAATTTTTGAATTCTGCCCAAACAGAAAATATGTTATTTTAATACAAGGAATGAATGAATGAATGAATGAATGAATGAATGAATGAATGAATGAATGAATTTTTTTATTGGAAAAGTGTGATTAGACACACAAGGAATTTGTCTTGGTGAATATCTCTCAGTATACATAAAAAGAAAAGATACATTCATCAAGAATCATAATGTACAACACTTAATATAGTCATAGGGTACAAATAAGCAATCAAATCATACTAGGAAACAGTCAATATAAATTGTAAGGATACAAGCAACAAAATTATAGTCATACAGTCACAAGTGGGAGGGGATGGGTGATAAGGAGTGATGAGAAGATTAATAGTAATAGTAATGCAGACTTAGTAAATAGTTTGACAGTGTTGAGGGAATTATTTGTTTAGCAGAGTAATGGCATTCAGGAAAACTGTTCTTGTGTCTAGTTGTTCTGTTGTGCACTGCTCTATAGCGTCGTTTTGAGGGTAGGCATTGAAACAGTTTATGTCCAGGATGTGAGGAGTCTGTAAATATTTTCACAGCCCTCTTTTTGACTCATGCAATATGCCCATTAGGTTACCAATCTAATCTGAAGTTCAAGATACTGACCTCTCTTTTTTGCAGAATTCACATTCAACTAATATATATGTTACATATTCTAGCTCTGGAAGCTAGTTTCCATTGTAAGGGACTTGGTTAAATATTCTATTGTGTCCAGCTCCTCAAATTTTGCTTGAGTAAGTACTACCCTAAGATGTTTGGCATTTATTCATTTAAAAACTTCGCAGTTTGGAAAGTTCTGTATATAGTGACACATCCATTTCAAGGTGTCAATTTTACTGAGGATGGTTATATCTTTCTCTGCTTCAATATCCTGGATGCTTTGTGCAGAAAACTTTTAACTTCTTATCCAGTTGTATGAGAGATTAGATAGATAGATAGATAGATAGATAGATAGATAGATAGATAGACAGATATCGATTAGATATATAGATATAGATATAATTTGTCAGTTGTACAAATCAAGGCATCTTTAATTGAATGATTGCCTGCTCTAAAATGCAGAACTTTGGGAGTTTGACAGGTTCCTTAGCTTTCACAGCTATATTTTATTTACTTGTTATTAATTAATTTTATTATGTTGCCCACCCCATTGATAAAGCCAGTATTTACCTTGATTTTAGACTAAGAAGAAATTATATAAATTCCCAGTTCAGTTCTTAGGACAACAGCTGACATCCCTGTATCTATTTCCAAGATACTTCTCAGATTATGTGATTAAGTTTGTTCTAGTACTGATATATTTAAGTCCTAAATCTCAGTTTGAAATAAGAGTATGGGGTTAACCTTAACATTATATACATTAATAAATGGGGTTGAGGAAGTTGGGTAACTGTGATTTTTTAAAAATGGAAGCAGTAAATTTCCTCATGAGGGAGCCAAGATCTAGTCTCAGAGAAAAATAGGTAAGGAAAGGTGTTACTATGTTTGTTCATCAATGGCTATGATTTCCTTTTTGAAAACTTTGACTATGATTTGCTAGTAATAGATAAGTATTATGATAGAATGTGAAGTATTCTTCACAGACAACACAACCAAAATTGTGCGTATGATACAAATATATTAGAGTTACCCTGTGGTAAGATGGACGGACAATAAATTTAATTAATTAATAAAATATTGTCAGTCTACAATAAGGTGTTACGATAGGGACAGGGGTGGGATTCTACTGGTTCTCACCTATTTGCTAGAACCTGTTGTTAACTTTCTAAGCAGTTTCGAGAACCCGTTGGAAGAAAACTCGTTTTGGTTTTTCCCACCCTTATTACATTCTTGGTAGTATGCCTAAACACTGTATCCGAAGGAGGTATTTTTTTGTTCTTTTCCGGTACTTTCTTAAAGGTTTTACTTTAAGAAGCAGTATGCCTAAACACTGTATCCCAAGGAGTTTTTTTTGTTTTTGTTTACTTTGCTGGTACTTTCTTTTAAGCTTTTTACACTGCTGTTGGGAGGAAATACTCCCCTGGAAATATTTCCAGCAGCATGCAGCAATCAGCACTTTGAAGAAATAATTGAATAATGAAGCAGAGCTGCTGGAAAGAAGCTTTTAATGACAAGGAACCAAGATGAGTGATATTCAGCAAGTCTTCTTGGCTAGCTAGAAAGATTGACATTCAAACGTGTTTACATAAGTTTTGGTCTAAAACTGGTTTTTGGTGAAGTTTAATTCTGTGCTTGGTGATGTTTAATCCTGTGTTTATTGATGGGATAATTTTCCCTATTCAGCTTTGTTTGGCAGGAAAAAGGTTAATCTCTGTTCTTGAAAGGAAACTGAGTTGAGAAATCTGACTAGTTCCTGTGTCTATTTGTTCTTGTAATTGGTTTAACAAGCAACAACTATTGTGATTTAATTATTTGTATTGTGTTTGAATTTTTTCCTGTCATGGTTTCTTTTTCTATCTGGGGTCTTCCTTCACTGCTTTAGTGGTATGTGGCACTGTCCTTTTGGGGTGTACTTACAAAAAACAGGATGCAAGCTTGGCACTGATTTTTTTATTGCCTTTCTATGGGGCATGTGACCTTTCCTTAAATCTGGGTGATTTCCTTAGGATATCTTGTGAGGTGAGTGAGACCAGCTGGTATTTTTAAGTGGTGCAAATGGATCTAAGGACTGCTTCTCCTGGGTGTGCTCTTTCTGGAGAGCTTAAATGACCTCTTTGCTAAAGGGTTACACTTTATGAGCAAGAGTTGGCTGCTGATAGTTATCATTGCATTTTAACTATTTTAATTCCTCAAGGTGCTCTGGCACTCTGCCTGACTTGTAACTATGTCTTGCAGGTATTTTTAATCTAATGATTGGTATTTAGGGCAGTTTTTTGAAAGCAAAGAAGCTTTTTTGTATTTTTTATACAGGTAAACTTTGACTTACAACAGTTCATTTAGTGACCACTCAAAGTTACAACAGCACTGAAAAAAGTGACTTATGACAATTTCCACATTTACTTATCACCCTCAAAAGTATGCAGTAGAAGCCCCCAAAACAATGGGGATGGTTTCATGAGAGAAAATTGCTTATTTGATTTTTGTCCCCTCCCCACTGTGAGTCCTAATCCTTAGGCATGACATCTACAATAGCCATTGTGAAAAGCAGCTCTTGAATTTCATACAGAAAATTTGGTTGGATCTGTCACTTAGCCACCCCTACCAAACAAAACTTACCAGATAGAAAAACATACAAACAAACCTGAGAGACTTTGTAGGTGCCTATTAATGTTGACATCTGGCTGGAGATGTCCCTCTTAGCTCCATCAAGAAGAGCCAAAAGATTGTCCTTCCTTCCACAGCTGTAGTTGGGAACATTGGCTTCTCCAGTAGAGAGCATGTCCAGCAAGGCATCTGAAGTACCAATTGTGCTCAAATAGTTGTCATGAACATTGTAGCCAAGTGTGAGATTGTGCAGGACCCTCTGATTCTTGTTGACCACTTGAATAGCGAAAATGAA